TTTTTTTTATTAAATAGTTAGCCATAACTAGTTTTGCCCAGAAAAACAGGCATTTGTACCATAGTACATAGGTGTTAATTAACAAATGGCTAACAAATACCACAAACAAAATTAATTTGCACACATACGTAACAAAAAAATTAATGAGCACCTAAATACGTTTGTGATTTAGTTTAGCTGCTACNCATAACTAGTTTTGCCCAGAAAAACAGGCATTTGTACCATAGTACATAGGTGTTAATTAACAAATGGCTAACAAATACCACAAACAAAATTAATTTGCACACATACGTAAAAAAAACTTAATGAGCACCTAAATGCGTTTGTGATTTAGTTTAGCTGCTATCGAATTCAAACTTAAGCGAAGCGCACATTGGCGCGATTCTGTCGTTGCGAATCCGCAAGCCCAAAAATTACCCATACATTTTAATGCGCTAGCGCACACTTGCACGATTCCGTCGCTGCGAATTTTTCGAACATTCAATGTTCCTCTCTATTGACGCGTTCGAAACGCGGCTTGCAGCGTTTTGAAGACGTCAAAGAAGAAGAAGAAAGGTGTCACAGCAATAAAGGCAAAGAAAAAAAAACGTGTAATGTACAAAAACTAATAAAAACGTTCGTAATAATAGTATTTTGTACGATTTGGGCACGCCGAGTGCGAAAATACACGAAATAAAGGGAAAATTGAGTGAATTGTACATCGGAAATCGACGCGAAAAAATCGCTCAAGTGTGCGCACGTTTGCGGATTCGAAGTTAACAGCCGAATTCGCAACGTATTCGCAACGATGGAATCGCGCCAATGTGCGCTTCGCTTTACCCTTTTACGCCGACATCACTCATTCTTTTGCCAAAAATATTCCGATCGTCCAACGTTAAATCAGCGCAGCCATAGACTACAACGCGCAATTCGTACGCTTGTGGCGGGTGTGGGGTGATATCGATAGGCGCTGGTATATTTAAGTTGCCCTCATACAGCTCAACCCATAGCTGTATTTTGCCCTGAAACGAAAATATGTACATATGTATGTACATATATTAGCATTGTTAGTAGATAAGAATACGAAATGGGGTAAAAGTTCACTTATGTATGTACCTGTTCTATGCCTGGACCATCGCGACGGTATAAGGTCCGAGTTTCGACATGCTCTGGCACTAATTTGTAGCCAAGGGACGGCAGCTGATCCAAATGGTGTAGCGCTGTTAGACTAAGACGCTCCTGTAATTCTTCCGCTATTGGGAGAACATGCATTAATTAAAAGCCTGCACAAGTATTTGCCATTGAACCAGGAAAAATAAACAAATACATACATATATATGTACTTCAATCTGCCTGTACTTATGTATGTAGATTATAAAATGATTTTAAATTATTATTGCAAAAAAAAACGAACCTATCGCAATGCGCGTTTCATCCTTAAACTTCAAACCGTCCACTTCAATACTTTTTTCGAGGAATTTTGGCGGTGGTAAATCTCGTTGCGAACAAAGTTCGGTCAGAATCTCGAAAGGCGTGGCAATATTGCGCCATTTATTGTAACCACTCCTGTAAAAGCAAATTTCCGTTGAGAAGGTTAATATTACAAATAAGGCAAAACTGAATAAAAATTTCACGATTTCGTACTTTGAATATTCTTTGGCAATCCCAACGACAGCGCGATGTTTGGTACGCCAGCGATCTTCCAAGTCGATAAATGTGGAACCGATATAATCATCGGCAAACACGTTTCGATCGAAAACTGAGACTTCTAACATGTTATCCCTGTAAAATAATAAATAGATAATAATAGAATTATAATTTAAAAATTTTAAAATACGCTATCATTGCAAATTCAACTAAATAGTAAAAATTAAATTATAGATATAAAGATTCCGCGTAAGACTTGATTTAATTTACCTTTCCAAACTAACTTCAAGTAGGGTGTACTACACCACCCGTCCGACTCATTTTTCGTTTTCCCAAAAAAATAAAATTCGTCCGTTTTAGAAGTTCAGGAAGAGTTGAAATTCAAATATCATTTAGAGGTTGAAAAAGGTACTTCCGCGAAATAATATTCAAACAAAAGTTACGTATATTTATCGGCAGCATCCAAATCTGTGGTCTGAACATGCATGTCCCATTTAAAGCAAATGAGTTCTGATCAGTTTAACCAATTTCCGGTCGAAACCGGAAGCCAGCAATACGGCCAAAAGAAAGAGAATCCCCGACTTTTCGCCTTTTCGCCTTTTCCAATAACAAAATATTATCCTCCGTTTTACAAGGGTTGGACGGGTGGTCTAGGATAACATGTATACAGCCAGGGGCGCACCCAGGAATATATTTTGGGAGGGGTTTGTACTTCTGAAAATTCGCTTCAGATAAAATGATCATTAAAGTATATTTATGCAAGTTTTATGTACAGTATGTAATAAATAAATAAAATTTTTGAAGTGTCATAAATTGCATTTATTTACATAAAATTAGCAAAAAACTCAAACATTTGTAACCCACTTCGAAAAAGAGGTAGGTTATCAATTCGTCGGAACCCCAAAACTCACCCCTTGTGTGCGCTAATGTATACAGCTGTATTTAAATTTACTTTTTTTCTAGTTTGGAAGCAAACGTTTTTTGAGGACGACCATATCCTTTTTGTTATAAAACATAATTTTGGGGTAGTAATATTTTCTATCCCGGGAGCCATATGAAGCTGACCTTGAAGACGGTGCTAATATAATTTAGAACTGCCAGGCATTCTTTTGCAACCCTTGATCCTAACATTACCGCATTCATTGATTTGATACCCTGCCTATCCGAGAATGCATAAATCATAGTCATCGTTAGGGCAATGTGTAAACAACAATCACACTGTCAAGATGAAATAGCGACGAATCAGCCGCACTTGGATAACCGAAATATATTGGAAAAAATTAAAATCCTGTGTGTTAATTAAAAATTGTCTAAAACCATTTGACCTCGAGCAGGCCCAATTAAGAAATAAAAAGGTCGCCAAAACCATCATAATTTTTTTAAATGTTGCATTTAGCTTGAATTCTTGATTTTTATGGGTTTGGTTAAAGCGCAAAAAATATTATTTTACCAAATAAAATACCAAAAATTTTTACTTGAAAAACATTGTGAATATAAAAATAAAAAAATCACCAAGCATTTTTTGAGTCACTGAATTTGTCTATAATAACTCCAGTTGAAGTTTCTTCACTTTTGGTTGAAGGTATAATTAGTTAAATTAAAAGTTCCTTAAACATAATTTAAATTTTTATTGAAATAACTAAAAAATAACAAAACTATAGGTTTTATTAAAATAACCAAAAAAACGTTATTGTTAGATATTTTCCAGATTTAGTATACTTGTTTCAAGTGGATAGTAAGTACTTTTTTCGTCAGTGGCAGCCCTGCATATGTAGAAGTTTAAAGCCCAATTAGTGGTGCCTTACCATAGCCATAAACATAACAATTATCTCATCTGTATGGTCAGCTCTGTGAGCGATTATTGGTGTCATACCATAACACCGTAGCTATAACCGTAGGCATTTAATTTTCGTATGTGAAAACGGCTGTTCTACTGATTAATTTTTTGATTACCATACATTAAATTTTCCTAATGGAAATCAATCAATTTCTGCTGTAAACATTTTAACAAGAAAATGCTCGAAATGAAGATTAATCATGGCGACTAGTAGACGTCGTCTTTATCCGAACTGCTTCAGGCTGACTAGCATGATGTCCTTCATGCTGAAATGTCATGAGAAATGGGTTAAGTTGCTCGCATAAAGATGCCTTTCAGGCGGAGAAATATTGTGAGACGAAAGCCTTAACGGCGTTCTTTAATGGAATTCTAGAAATCACCATGCTAAATTTCTACTGCCAAAAATCTCTAAGGACCGGTTGTTCAATGTCTGGTTATCACTACCTCCCAGTTAAACATCATTATCGACATTTTCGACACCATGCATATAACCTGAGACCGCTAAAGCAGTCGTTGTATTTAACCAGAGCTTCTACCTCCGATTTGTCTTAACCAGACATTGAACAACTGACCCAAAATGAATAACATATGGACCTAAAAATATGCAACGCGTAAGCGGAAGGAGTCCAATATAAAACCGTAAGCAATAGCGATATGTTATATTTCCCTAAAGACGTTGTATATTTTAAGGCACAAGCATGATCCATTTAGAGATTTTAAGCGACAGAAATTTAGCGTGGCGGTTTCTAAAATCCCACTGCTGGCAATTAAAACAGACCTTTGGTAAAACGTAGGGTCTGTCAACTAGAGGAATCCTGTGCATCCTACTCATCTGTTGTGTGGTGGAGCAGACTCTCAATCAATAGTAACGGAAATCTTTTTGACCCTACTTCAAAGAACGTGTGTGTCCAAAATCAATCGAATATTCGTGTGGACGTTTTCGGGCGACATTTTTGAAATTAGAAGATTTTTTTTTTTTAAATTTTGGCGAATCTAAATAGTAAAAAAAATATTTCCTTTCACCACCATGAGGAGATATTTCCCACATTCCGTTAGTATCAAAAAGTTATTTTGACCGAAAAGTGGAGTTAAGAGGTCGGCGACGATTTGACAAAGTCATGGCTATGGCGTTATGGTTATGGCACCTCTAACCTGGACCTTAACAAATATTTACGTTTACTGCTACAATCACAAAATAGGCTGTCTTTCTTTGATTGTGAATTGCAAACACATTAGGGGTATCCTTTGCTGATAAACAAATTGAAATTTAACAAATCAAAAAGTTGAAATAAGCAGCATTGAAGTAGATATGTATAGGATTAGACCAATGAATATCTCACACTTGTGATTATTTCCGAAATAGCAGTTAGTTACAATTTCTACCAGAATCTAATAAAAATTTGTTGTTTACGAAAACCCACATAACATACAATCTTTATGACGAACACTTCACTCAAATCACTAAGCGCGTAGTGCGAGTATGTATACTTAAACGCAATAAATTCGAAGAAACGATAAGGTGGATTATCTACCTTTGATCACACTACATAAAATTAATCGCCATGAATTGCTTAAAATAAAATTGCTGTTCTATTGAATTTCGTAGTTAAGACTCACTTCACTTGCAGCGGCAAATGTGTTAAAATGTGTTGCAGTTGTTGTGGTGTAATTCAGCAGAAGGTGTGGCTTTCACTTGTAGCCATAGCATTTCTTGCCCTAGGGCTGGTTTTTGTAATTTGGTGGCCAAATTACATTACTGATATGATTTACAATGTAAGTGTCAAAATAAACTTTTAGCTCAGTATTAATACTTTTTTTTTACAAATTTTATAGGAGCTACCGCTCTCGCAATGTTCGCGCACCTACGATAAGTGGAGTACAATACCTATACCGATCTACATGTACATGTATCTCTTTAATTGGACAAATCCAGAGCAAGTGCGCACAAGTGGTGTGAAGCCGAACTTCGAGCAAGTGGGACCGTTCGTTTTTAGAGAAGAAAAAATCAAAGAGGATGTAACTTGGTACACAAATAAGACCGTTTCCTTCTTTGGCCAACGGACGTGGTACTTTGAAAGCGAGATGTCGGGTGCTTCACTAGACGCCCTAATCACTTGCCCGCATCTGCCCTCCTTGGTAGCGTTGAAATGCGTATATTAATTATTATTTGGTTTCATAACAATTTTTGCATACTTACAGGCCGCTTCATATGTCGTTCGCGATGAGCCAAGAATCATCAAAATTGCGTTCAATATTGCGCTCAACAACAACGGTGGCGCACTGTACCAGACTCATAGTGCAGGTGAATGGCTCTTTGATGGTTTCTACGATGAGTTTCTGGATTACGCAATTAAACTGAATAACTCTATGACGGGCGCTGTTGAATCGAATGAGTTTGCTTGGTTTCTCAATCGCAACGGTTCTAAGGAGTTTGAAGGTCTATTTACTATACACACCGGTCAAGGTGATTTGCGACAAATGGGCGAGATTAAATTCTGGAAGGGATCGAATCATACTGGCTACTATGAGGGTGAATGTGGGCGTGTAAATGGCAGTACAGCTGACCTTTTCGTGCCTAATCGTGGTGCCGAAGAGTATATCACAATCTATATAACCGACACTTGTCGCATCATGAATTTGGTACCCAGTAGCGAGGTTGTGATCGAGGGTATTAAAGCCATTAAGTACGAGACAAAGCCGGATACGTTTGATAATGGGCAACTTAATCCAGACATGAAGTGTTATTGTCCAGCCGAAATGCAACCAGACAATTGTCCGGCAACAGGCGCGACTTATTTGGGTCCATGTGCGGATGGTGTTCCCATGTATTTGTCGCATCCACATTTCATGTATGCTGACGAGAGTTACGCTAGCACAATTACGGGCCTTAGTCCTGATTACGAAAAGCACAACTTCTTCATTGTAATGGAGCCAAAGCTGGGCGTACCGCTAGAGGTGAACGCAAATGTTATGGTCAGCCTGCACATACGAAATGACAGTGATATTACGTGAGTACGCAATTTAGAGAGTTCTGAAATTTATACTAAATATATATGTGCTTGCAGGATATTGCGCGATATAACCGATTTTTATGCGCCACTCTTCGTTACCTCCAGCAAGGCTGTGATCGATAAAAAACTTGCAAGGGAAGTAAAGGTATGTATATCTAGTCTTTTTTTTCTTCATAAGTAATTAGAAATACATTTTATTAACTAAATACAATTTTTCGCCGTTTTCAGCTTGCATTGAGTTTGCCCGATATTGGATTCTACATGGGAATCACCTTTATTTCTATAGGCAGTATACTTGCAATCATCGGTATATATTTAACGGTCACCCGTCGCTGGTATGGAGAACGGAAGTTATCTAAGGACTAGAAGTCAAGTACAAGTATTTTTATGATAAAATCTGATAATTATGATATTGTTAAATGTAATATATGTATGTATGTATGTTGTAAGCTGCAGATACTTCCTACCCATACTTTCGTTTTTTCCTGAAATTGTATGTACTGTTAAAGGATGACGACCGCATGGATTTTTACACTACGCCGTGAAAAAAAATTTAATTACGTNTCGATGTAAATGTATACGTCTCTTTGAACTTGCTGTCATAGGAGTTCCAGCAGGATTATCAAAAGTATACAAAGA